TGTGCAGGGGGGGTGCCCCCACCCGCCTGCCACTCCGCCTTTCAAACAGGGCAGACCCAGGCTGCCAGGCACGGCGGCACCGGGAGAGAAGGAGCAGTGGCAGGACAGGCCACGGGTCTGGTCCGTGGCTCGTGAGCCTCCAGGAAGCTTGCCTGCTTTGACACTAGGACAGATGCACGGCAAAGCAGGCGGCTCCCCGCTGGCGAGGGACCACGTGGGCTCACCTGTCCACACAGGCCGGAGTCAGCAGCTCCTCCCGGCATGCTCAGACCATGGCCACGTTTGTGTGGGGGCGGCTCCCGTGGTGATTTGCTTAGAGCAGGGGCCGGTTGTGGCCCCCGCTTGCCTGGGCGCCTGCCACCATCGTGACATGGGATTTGCAGGCCAGTGGCTGCTGCTTCACTTCCGTGCTACAAACACCGTTCCAGCCTGACGCTTAGGGCTCGCACTGCTGCTCAGAGCCACGTGGACTCAGTCCACGGGTGAAAACACCACGCCCCACCCCTGCCTGCTCTGCTCAGCACCTTGCCACCTGGCGCACAAGCTTAGAATCCTGGCCTGCTGATGGGGCACGGGGCGCGCTCTTCCTATCCAGAGCCCACGCCCCGTCGTCCTGCAGCCGGCAAGGAGCCCCGCCCCTCAAGCACGGTGAGTGCTGGCGGGGCAGAGGGACAGCCCTGAACGGGGCAGGAAGATCCCCCATCTGGGGCCGGAGCAGGCACGGGGGAAGCAGTGAATTCCGAGGGTCTGTAACACCCCGGGCCGGTACCTGGCCACCACGCCCTCGATCAGCTGGCTGTATTGACCGATCTCGTTCTCCAGCTTGCTCTTCACATCCAGCAGGGCTTCGTAGTCCCGGGCCTGGCGCTCCAGGTCCGCCCGGCAGGCGCCCAGCTCGTGCTGCAGCTTGCCGACGACCTGGTTGAGCTTGGCCAGTTCCTCCGCGTAGCGGCCTTCTGTGTCCTTCAAGGCGCGCTCCAGCGTGTCCACCTGGCGGGGAGCAGAGCAGAGCACGGCGCCCTCAGCCTGTGGCCAGGGGGAGGCTCC